ATGTATACGAAAATGAAAAATGTGGTTGTATATGATAGCGATTCCACTGGAACCGCTCTTAAAGTGAACATCTAATAGCGGTTAAACCTTAACCGCTATCTAAAATATATTTTAGATAGCGGTTAACGTGGAACCGCTATTATATATTTTCAAATATGATCGATCATTTGAAAATTTAATCGATCATAATAAAAAAATGTGGTTGTATATGATAGCGGTTCCACTGGAACCGCTCTTAAAAGTGAACTTCTAATAGCGGTTAAACCTCAACCGCTATCTAAAATATATTTTAGATAGCGGTTAAAGTGGAACCGCTATTATATATTTTCAATTATGATCGATCATTTCAAAATATAATCGATCATAATGAAAACTCACATTAACTATTTTTTTGAATATTATGTTTTTAAATTTGCTATTAGAGAAAACGTTTTAGAATTCAAAATGTTAAATACTTTTAAATATTAAAATTAACTTTATAAAAAATTAGGAAAAAAAATTAATCCAAAAGAGTTCAAAAATGTATTATAATATTGTCAATTTTGAGTTTAATTATATTGTTCATTCTCAAAGTAGAAAAATATATTGTAATTATTTTAATTTAATAAAATATAGTTTAAATTTTTAATACTAAAATTAAAAGATTAAATAATAATAATAAATTTAATTCTTTAAATTTAGTATTTATAGAAACTAAAATTATAGTTTCTCTGTTTTAAAAAATTAAAATAAATATTTAAAAATAAAAATCAAAACTAGTATTATCTTAAATTTATTAAAAGTGTAATTAAATCTCTATTTTCTTAATTTTTTTTGTTTTAAACTTCTCAATTCTACATTTTTGTAAATTCTATCATTATATTATCATCCTCATCTCCTCCCATGTTCTACTTTATCTTTACAATAGTTAATATTCTTAAATAATTTATATTTTAAATTATAATTTTTTAATATATATTTCAGAAATTAATCAATTATAATCTATTATTTGAAAAACTAATCAATTCTAATTAATAATTTAGAAAACTAATCGATTATAATTAATTATTTGAAAAAATTATCAAATATGATCGATCATTTGAAAATCTAATCGATCATAATAAAAAAATGTGATTGTATATGATAGCGGTTCCACTGAACCGCTCTTAAAAGCGAGCTTCTAATAGCGGTTAAACCTTAACCACTATCTAAAATATATTTTAGATAGCGGTTAAAGTGGAACATCTATTATATATTTTCAATTATGATCGATCATTTCAAAATATAATCGATCATAATGAAAACTTACATTAACTATTTTTTTGAATATTATGTTTTTAAATTTGCTATTAGAGAAAACGTTTCAGAATTCAAAATGTTAAATACTTTTAAATATTAAAAGTAACTTTATCAAAAATTAGGAAAAAAATTAATCCAAAAGAGTTCAAAAATGTATTATAATATTGTCAATTTTGAGTTTAATTATATTGTTCATTCTCAAAGTAGAAAAATATATTGTAATTATTTTAATTTAAGAAAATACAATTTAAATTTTTAATACTAAAATTAAAAGATTAAATAATAATAAATTTAATTCTTTAAATTTAGTATTTAGAAACTAAAATTATAGTTTCTCTGTTTTAAAAATTAAAATAAATATTTAAAAATAAAAATCAAAACTAGTATTATCTTAAATTTATTAAAAGTGTAATTAAATATCTATTTTCTTAATTTTTTTTGTTTTAAACTTCTCAATTCTACATTTTTGTAAATTCTATCATTATATTATCATCCTCATCTCCTCCCATGTTCTACTTTATCTTTACAATAGTTAATATTCTTAAATAATTTATATTTTAAATTATAATTTTTTAATATATATTTCAGAAATTAATCAATTATAATCTATTATTTGAAAAACTAATCAATTCTAATCAATAATTTAGAACACTAATCGATTATAATTAATTATTTGAAAAAATTATCAAATATGATCGATCATTTGAAAATCTAATCGATCATAATCAAAAAATGTGGTTGTATATGATAGTGGTTCCACTAGAACCGCTCTTAAAAGCGAACTTCTAATAGCGGTTAAACCTCAACCACTATCTAAAATATATTTTAGATAGCGGTTAAAGTGGAACCGCTATTATATATTTTCAATTATGATCGATCATTTCAAAATATAATCGATCATAATGAAAACTTACATTAACTATTTTTTTAAATATTATGTTTTTAAATTTGCTATTAGAGAAAACGTTTCAGAATTCAAAATGTTAAATACTTTTAAATATTAAAATTAACTTTATCAAAAATTAGGAAAAAAAAATTAATCCAAAAGAGTTCAAAAATGTATTATAATATTGTCAATTTTGAGTTTAATTATATTGTTCATTCTCAAAGTAGAAAAATATATTGTAATTATTTTAATTTAATAAAATATAATTTAAATTTTTAATACTAAAATTAAAAGATTAAATAATAATAAATTTAATTCTTTAAATTTAGTATTTAGAAACTAAAATTATAGTTTCTCTGTTTTAAAAATAAAAATCAAAACTAGTATTATCTTAAATTTATTAAAAGTGTAATTAAATCTCTATTTTCTTAATTTTTTTTGTTTTAAACTTCTCAATTCTACATTTTTGTAAATTCTATCATTATATTATCATCCTCATCTCCTCCCATGTTCTACTTTATCTTTACAATAGTTAATATTCTTAAATAATTTATATTTTAAATTATATTTTTTTAATATATATTTCAGAAATTAATCAATTATAATCTATTATTTGAAAAACTAATCAATTCTAATCAATAATTTAGAAAACTAATCGATTATAATTAATTATTTGAAAAAATTATCAAATATGATCGATCATTTGAAAATCTAATCGATCATAATAAAAAAATGTGGTTGTATATGATAGCGGTTCCACTAGAACCGCTCTTAAAAGCGAACTTCTAATAGCGGTTAAACCTCAACCACTATCTAAAATATATTTTAGATAGCGGTTAAAGTGGAACCGTTATTATATATTTTCAATTATGATCGATCATTTCAAAATATAATCGATCATAATGAAAACTTACATTAACTATTTTTTTGAATATTATGTTTTTAAATTTGCTATTAGAGAAAACGTTTTAGAATTCAAAATGTTAAATACTTTTAAATATTAAAATTAACTTTATCAAAAATTAGGAAAAAAATTAATCCAAAAGAGTTCAAAAATGTATTATAATATTGTCAATTTTGAGTTTAATTATATTGTTCATTCTCAAAGTAGAAAAATATATTGTAATTATTTTAATTTAATAAAATATAATTTAAATTTTTAATACTAAAATTAAAAGATTAAATAATAATAAATTTAATTCTTTAAATTTAGTATTTAGAAACTAAAATTATAGTTTCTCTGTTTTAAAAAATTAAAATAAATATTTAAAAATAAAAATCAAAACTAGTATTATCTTAAATTTATTAAAAGTGTAATTAAATCTCTATTTTCTTAATTTTTTTTGTTTTAAACTTCTTAATTCTACATTTTTGTAAATTCTATCATTATATTATCATCCTCATCTCTTCCCATGTTCTACTTTATCTTTACAATACTTAATATTCTTAAATAATTTATATTTTTAATTATAATTTTTTAATATATATTTTGAAATTAATCAATTATAATCTATTATTTGAAAAACTAATCAATTCTAATCAATATTTTAGATAGCGGTTCACTTGGAACCGCTATTATATGTTCACTTTTAAGAGCGGTGAAAATATTAACCGCTCTTAAAAGTGACAAATATTTTATTTATTTATTGACACATTTTTGCATCAGATATCGCTCGAGCGAGACCAATGTCGCTCAAGCGAAATACTACCCGAGAATGCCAATTTTGTGCAGGTGGCGTCGCTCGAGCGATGTTGGTTTCGCTTGAGGGAATGTTGACCTGCGTAAACGTCGATCAAAGTTAGCCGGATAATGTAACATGGGTGACCTCATGTTTGAATCGGATGTCGCTCGAGCGAGAATAGTGTCGCTCAAGCGAAATACAACCCGAGACTTCCCAATCTTAGCAGTTGGCGTCACTCGAACGATGTGAAATTCGCTTGAGCGTTATTGCAAAAATCAGATAAAATGATCGTTTATTTTCTCATTAGCGACCGATTTTAATTCGGTCACTATTTCAATTTGTAATTCGGTCGCTAAATGATTTTTTTATTTTAGTATGAAATAGCCACCGATTTAGCGACCGAAATTTTGCGACGCAAAATATTGGTCGCTATTTCGGTCGCTAAATAAAAAAGTGAAAACCAAATCATATTTTGGTCGCTAAATCGGTCGCTAATTGCGACCGAATTAAAGTGGTCGTTAAATCGGTCGCTAATTGGACCGAATTAAAGTGGTCGCTAAATCGGTCGCTAATTTCGGTGGCTAAATGTGTTTTTTCTTGTAGTGAATTTTTTTTATTACCGATCGAATTTTGTCCAGTCAATATTTTCAATATTTTTTTTAGTATAATAAATCATCGTGATATTTTATGATTGCAAAGTGAAATAATAATAAAAAAAAACTTAGAAACTATAAAGTAATATTAAGAAATTATATAATTTTTCTCCACAAACATCAAATCAATAGATAAACAAAATAAATATTCTTAACTAATATTGTTTTAATGAAAATGTTCATATTCATATCTAATTATGATAATATTATTAAGATATATTATCATATCCAAAATATTATTTATTTTAAAATTTTAATTCATCGTTGTTTTAGATCTTGTCCTTACAAATATTTCATTAGGTTTCTCAATCTATTGAAATATCTCATGAAAACAAAATCACTACGAATTAAAATTCTAAATCAAATAATATCTTAAACGTAATAATAATCATAAGATCGTCACTCTCTTCCTTCAAAACGAAAACAGGATGTTAAGAAGAATTACAAAATCTAAACAAAAACTCTTCGAGTTTCTTCATCTTCGAAATCTGACTCATAAAGTCAAAGTTTGTTCAAGATGACATACAGCTTATTCGTAGTCCTAAAGCTCCATATCTGTAATTCTTGACTTTCCTGGAAATTGTTGTCGCAGACGATTTGGTACCATTCCTTGACGAGGTTGTAAGTGATTGTGTTCATGGTCCATTTCTTCAATGGCAGAACGTATTCTCTAAGACAAGGATCCAACACAGTCACCATTAAGCCAATAATTTTTCCACTGTCTCTTTCATTCAACTGTGCAATCTCTTGCTCGTTCAGAAAATCGCATCTGATCTCGTTTACCGGCATTGACAAACGATTGTTATTGCGTCTCACATCAGAAGCGAAGAGTGTCTTGTGCATGAGAAACTGCAGATCATAGCCTTCCAATTCAGTGACTCTGTTCTTAAATTTTTTGGGCAAATCTTTTGGTTGTGGTGGCTCTGGTGGTGTTGGATTCTTCACGATTATCCTTCTTGGCTTTGCATGATTTGACTCCTCACTTTCTTTTTTGTGTATCTCTTCTCTTTGCCTTATATTCAATATATATATATATATAAACAACATATAAACTACATTAATTAGGTTTAAATTTATAAGGATACAATTAAGTAATGATAATTAAAAAATATTGATAATTAACTATATAACATGATAAAATTATGTATAAACATTATTAAGTTGAAATAATGCATGTTGATGGAAAATCATCGAAGCTTTTAATAAAAGCTCTCAAACCCTATTAAATTCATATTCAATCAACGAATTATATACATAATAATAAATATTATCAAACAATTTTAACTTCTTATCACCTCTTTAAACAACAATTATAATTTTCAACTCTTACATTTTAAAATAAATTGATTAAGATATAAGGTTCTAAGGTAAAAACAATTGAGAATATCAAGACTTTTGATTCAAAATAATAATTTAAAACAAATTAAACTTTGATTATTTTAAGTATTTTTGAGGGGATTAATAAAACAGAAATTTTAAGTATTTTTTAGGGGACTAATAAAAGAAAGATTTTCTTAAGAATAATATGAATCAATTATATAAAAGAATATGACACCACTTTTAACCCTAAATATTAACACTAAAGGTTAAAATATTAGATTATGAGTATTTTTTACTTATAAGTTACTTAACTTTCAAGTTTTTATCTAACGTAGACTTCAATTCACATTTAAATTTTCAACAATCTCTCTCTCAAACGTGAATCTCTTTCACATTAGTACATTTCTCCTTCGAACAAAAATATTTTTTGTCTAGTGACCATTAACTCAAGTGTGATTCTCTTTCATATCAGTACACCTCTCCCTCAAGTAAAAGTATTTTTTCTTTTTTTTTCTAATCATAAATATCCAGTAGGAAACTTACTTATATTACTGATCAACTCAACCTACTCACTTATCACTTACCATGTTTAGGTTGAAAACATAAAAAATAATCTTACAAATATTTAAACAATACTATACGTAACATAAGAGACAATGCGAAACTTCTAACAATTATTATTTTATCAAATAAATTAAGAATAACGTACCTGTGATCATTTTTGTTGGTGTTTTTAAAACAACTTTGAAGTTTTTTGTGAAAATTATTCAGTTGAATCAATTCCTCCTCGTTGTACAATTCTGGTGCTCGCTGCGAGATTATCCATTGAAGCATCGAAGGCTTGAACGCTTTGCAACTTGAATTTTCCATACTCTCTTTTCAGTGACACTTCAGGTGCAGTTTTCGATCCCTTGATGATAAATGAATAATAAGAAGCTTACGTGAGTGTTGAAATGTAAAACTGTAAAGGGTTTTAAATAGTGACAAAAAAATGATAATTCAAGAAGATTAATGATAAAAAAAGATTTTCATAATTTTCAAATAATAAAAATAAACGTATCTAAAAGTATAAATCTTATCTTTTAAAAGAAATATATATAACATTCGTCTTTTTATCATTGATAAAATAGTACCAAATTATATTCTCTTAAAGTTTAAGATATGGGGATAAATCAGTTGAAGAGATTATTAAAAGTTTATGTATCGTTCATTTAAATAATTAGTTTATATTTTATATTAGTTTTAAAATATTTACTATAAATTATATTAACATTAGTAAAAACGATCCAATATATTTTAGTTAAGTATGTTGTATTAAGACTTTGATATTTTTTGTTCTTTTCTATAAATATTAATGATACGATTTTTTTTTAATAATTCAAAATATAATAAAGATAGGCTTTATAAAAATATAAATTTTAATATTTTTAAATAAAATAAACATCGTTATTTCACAATAAAGAACCAAATTTGAAAGAGATACAACTAAACTTAATAATTATAAGAGATTACAGTAGAATAATTTAAATTTATTAACTGCTCATTTAAATTATTTTTTTATATTTAAAATTAATTTAATATATTTAAGAATATCTTAAACATAAATATTCAAAATTAATAAAATAATAAAACTTATTTTTAATTGAACATGTTTTCTTTGAAATTGTTAAGGTTATTAAAAAAAATTATAATTTTTGTTCTTTTGTCTGTTTATCATACATATTCACAGGATTTAAAAAAAATCTGCTAGAAAAAATAAAATCTATTATTATTTCTACTAAAATATTTTTTAATATTTATCATAAGTATGTATTTAATGGTTTTATAATTTAAATCACTACAAGAAAAAACGCTATTAGCGATCGAAAAAATCGGTTGCTAATGACTAAAAATCGGTTGCTATTGCATTAGCGACCGAAATGGTTGGTCGCAAAAGGTCAAGTCGTTAATTTGTTAGCGTACCGATTTACATTTTGATGGCAAAATAGCGACCGATAAGGTGGTCGCTAAGGTGGTCACTAAATAATTTGGTTACTTATTCATTAAAGACCAAAATAGCGACCGAAATTAATATAATAAATCGGTCGCTAAATCGGTCGCTAAATCGGTGGTAAAGTTTTAAAAAAATAGTGACCGATATATTCGGTCGCTAATATATTAACATAATTATTTAAATAATAATTAAAATCGATCGCTAAATCGATCGCAAAAATAGCGACGTAAATTAATATAGTAAATCGGTCGCTAAATTAGAGACAAAGTTAAAAATAATAGCGACCGATATAATCGGTCGCTAATACATTAATTGAATTATTTAAATAATAATTTAAATCGGTCACTAAATTGGTCGCAAAAATAGTGACAGAATAATTTTGGTCGCTAAATTTGAATTGTATATTATAATATATTTGTAGCGACCAAAAATTCGATCGCTAATCTAACCAAATCTGAAAATTTTCGTTTAAAATTTTGTATATCCAATTTTGCAAAATTTGTACTGCGTAATTGATCCAAACAGAACACAAATGAAAACTTAAGAACTAAAGTCAAATTATTCAAATCATAATAAGAACAATTCAAAGTCATAACAGAAATAAAATGTTTCTAAACAACTACTCAAGATTCAAAGTCTTAATATCATAAAATTGAAAATTAGTCATCTGGTATATTGTCAGTATCATGTTGACTTGTAGTAGGATGACTATTCATTTGAATATGTTGTAAAATAAGCTTCATCTGCTCATCTTGTTGGCGTTGGTTGTTCCTCAACTCCTGCATCTCTTCTTGAAGTGTCTTCTCCTTATTATGCTTTGCCACCAATTCAGCATTTAACTTTTCAATAGTCTCACGCATTTGTTCAATTTGATGAAATACTGGAGTTTGAGTAATAGAAGATTGAGAACCTGATGTAGTAGTGAACTTTTTGCTCAATGTACCAAGTCCATACACATTTCCTTTTTTATTTTCACCTCCAACAACTGAAATGTATATTTCATTATCATCAATAGAGACAATAGGAGACTCTTGTGAAGATGAGCCTTCACGCAAGTTATGTTGATGGACTTCTTCTCTGCGCTGCATATATTGTTCCTAAAAATGAAGTGAAATATAATTATTATGAAGAAAACATATATTGAATAATAAACTATAACTTAGATGTTAAACGTACAGCAAGATAACGAGTTTTTTCATTGACCCATTGTCCAGTCTTTAATTTCTTTGTCCTCTCAACAACCTCCCAAACGGTTGGTTCCCGTTGAAACTCCGTAGTCTACACATTAAAATGAGACAAAATTCATTACCTAAAGTGTAATATATTGTATTAAATTACTTATATAAAAATATAATAAACTTACCATCTTCTCAAAGTGAGCTGCAGTAGATATGGAACCCCCACAGTAAGCTGAGGCACCCTTATCAACGGCTCGATTAGCCTTGGTAATGACACTCTTGTTTTGGAAATCTGGAGAACTCCAATGTAAGTCCAAAGATGCTCGAACAGTTGGCGGTATCCAGATTCCCGTATCCTTACCATTCCTAACTTTGTTCATTGAGTTTTTTAAAATTCGAGAACCTTTCTTATCAAAAACGAGATCTTATGGCTTGTTCTTGTTCCACATCCCATATATACTCTTTACGCATAAATAAAATACACAACAAACATTTAATTTATAAGAATGAAATGACATTGTTTAACGTAACTATAATTCAAATTACCTTGAACTCTCCAAACCATCTATCTCGAAGCTCAAGTGAAACCTTTCTCCAAGTGGGACTTGGTTCATCAAATTTTTGTTTGATGATTCTAGAGATTATAGCAGGGAGGACCATTTGTCTGGTATAAACCTGTGTTGAAACATATTGTGGGATTGATATTATTAAGAAATTTCATATTAAAGAATTATAATTAAATTAAAACATACTTACTCTCCTTTGTCTCGCTTGTAACCATGGCCTTTGATCAACCATATTTCCAGACTCAACCTCGGTTGCGGCCGACCCAGGTACTTGTGTAGGTTGACCAAATGTCGCCTCGTAGAGAAGGTAGTAGGAATTGTTTCTCCTACCATAGCTACAGGAGATTCCTGCTGAGTTGAGGGAGGTGTGCGTTCTACAAACATAGGATTAGTAAACTCCATGGATCTTGGTCGAACGGAACTAGGAGAGTTAGGGCTGGGTGAACCTCTATCATCAACAAGTACACCTCGACCACCACGATGAGGTGGTCTACGACCACCACTTCTACCCCTTTGTGGCATCTACAAGCGGATCTTATTACATATGTAACATGCATAAAATTAAACAATTGAAACAATGAATTACCCGATTTTGTTTTCTACACCCAAACGTGTCGGTTAGCTTACCACTCATTCACCTGCAAATAATTAAATCATAATCATATCAATATATATATATATATATATATATGCAATATTAAATAAAGGTGTACAATCAAATTTAACAATTGTAAAAATAAAGGTGTACAATCACTACTTATGTTTTTCTATTCTTACAAATTAACT